GAAAAAAGAAAAGTCTATTCTTGACAAAAAACTACTACAAAGCTGCTCTGAGAAAGCCTTGTGATGGAATGTCTTCCTGCTTGGTTGGAGGAGTGGCTCAATAGAAAAGCCTTTGCTACCACCCAAGCCCAGGTTCCATCTCCCAGCACTTCGGGGACACACACACACACACGCACACACACACAGACCACACCACACCACACACACAGAGTTAACTCCTAACTGGTTGAAGAGGACTTAACTACAAAAATTCCATAGCTGGGTGGTGGTGGCGGCGCATGTCTTTAATCCCAGCACTCCGGAGACAGAGGCAGATGGATCTCTGTGAGTTTGAGGCCAGCCTGATCTACAAGAGCTAGTTCCAGGACAGGATCCAAAGCTACAGAGAAACCCTTCCTCGAAAAAAACCCAAAACCAAACAAACAAACAAAAAAAAAAAAAAACCGAAACAAAACAAATAAAAGAAATTCCTTCATGGAAGAAACTCCATAGACTTAATGAAAAGAAGAAGTTAGGCTGGAAGGAAACTGGAAAAACATATAAAATCTGAAAATCAGACTTGAGAAGCAGTTAATAGTGTGTGAATATAGATCCGTGTGTACCAACTGGGAAGTTACAGACTGTCAGCTGCCAGCCTGGGACAAGAAACCCAAAAGACCCCCAGGAAAAATCTAGAGGGTGCATGTAGCTGCCAAGAAAAAGAATATGATTCGCAATGCTTGCCGAGGCCTCAGTGTTCTTTCTTGGTAAGAAGGGGGGGCAGGGAGATGGAGGAGGAAGAAATAGGAAGACTTGGAGGGAGAATGTTCAGCATATAACATACACTTTACGAAAGTCTAAAACTAAATTAAGAGAACGAGACAGGAAGAAGAAAAATAGCAACAGCACCAAAACAGCTGAAATATGGAGATGCGTGGTTGTGGGAGCTGGAGGATCAGCCTTGACTGCAGGCAAGTTCAAGGCCAGTTTGGGCTACCAGAGACCCCATCTCACAAAGCAAAAACCAGAGTCAGCAAAATGGCCAAGGGAGTCAAGCAAACCCCAAACCTGATGGCCTGTTTTCAATGATTCAGAAATCAAATGGTAGGGGAGAACCAACCCCCAGAAATTGTTCTTTCACCTCCACGTGGAAGATGGCATGCGTGTGACTCCGCACACATATTATATACAATAATGATTTTAAAAAGGAGAAGCATCCTCCCTCAAAACATAAAAACAAACAACAATCCAAAAAGTGGACTGTAAGAGACTCGTCAAGGCTGTCTAGCTAGTAGAAGGGCTTGCCAGCAGGCTTGGAGACCTGAGTTTGATCCTTAACAAACAGGGTGGAAGGAGAGAACTCACCTCAGAAGGTTGTCCTCTGCTGCAGCATGTGCATGGCAGATGTACACCTACACACACACACACACACACACACACACACACGTCATACGCACAGACACAATAACTAAAAATAAAATTGAGAAACAGACTACAGGAATTTGAATTTTAAATCATGGAAGAAGGCAGTAAGGGCCCAGTAGGAGGAAAGCAAGGGAGTCTGTGGCAGTGTGTACAGCCAGAGATATACAGCAAACAGAATGGCCTCTTCCGAGCAGCTCCCAGAATTGGACATTGGAAAGGTTTGATGTAGTCTTCTTCGAAAGCAGAGGATTCTGGTTGAAGGTTTCTTTTGCTGGGCTCTGATTACTGTAATACGTAAGAACTACCCAGGAAGTCATCACACTGGTTCCGGTGCAGGGTTGAGCTCATTTTAACCAGGACAGGAGCAAAACCTGCGCATTCCCAGAGGGGCGACGACAACTCCAGACACTCTCTTCATATGAGCTGGAGAGGTGGCTCAGTGAACTGGCTACGCTTCCAGAGAACCCAAATTCAGTTCTCAGAACCCATGTGTCAACTCACAATCTTCTCCAAGTCCATTCCAGGAGACCCTCCAGCTCCTGCGCACATGTGATACACATACATATATACAATAAAATAAAAAAAATTTAAAATCCTTTTTTTTTTTGAGACAGTGTTTCTCTGTAGCTTTGGGACCTGTCCTGGAACTAGCTCTGTAGACCAGGCTGACCTCGAACTCACAGAGATCCATCTGCCTCTGTCTCCCAAGTCCTGGGATTAAAGATGTGTACCACCACTACCTGGCCTGTATGGCTGCTTTTCTATCTGATCTTCAGACAAACTTTATTATTAAAACACAAGCAATATACAGCTATACACACCTATAAGCCTCAGGGGACTGGGTCCTAGCTGTCACCCTTGACTTTGTTACACACACACACACACACACACACACACACACACACACACACACACACACCTGTAGTGGGGAGCACACCATGTACCATGTACACGTAGAGACCAGAGGAGGATATCAGGTGTCCCTCTCTGTCACTCTCCACCTTATTCCCTTGAAATAGTGTCCTTCAATGAGCCTGAAGCTAGGCGGGTGGCGAGCAAGCCCCAACAACGTGTCTCTGCAGAGCTCCCTACATTGCTGGAGTTGCGGGAAAGCATGGCCACACCCAGCTTTTCGTGTGGGTACTTGGGATTCAAACTCAGCTCCTCCTGCTCCTCATACTAATTGAGCTGTCTTCCCAGGTCCTTATTTTTATATTTTAGAGGAAGTATCTCAATGTAGCCCAGACTGACCGGCAACTCTCTCTCTAATCCAGGATGGCTTTGAACTGAGGAAGCTCCTCCTACCTCAGTCTCCTAAGAAAGCAAACAAGCCTGATTCTTCACCTTATTTTTTTTTCCTCCTGCATTTTTTTTTTTATTCCTTTGGAAGGAAGGGAAGAAGGGAAAAAAGAAAAAAAGGGGGAAAGGCGATCCTTCACCTCATGAATACTAAAAAACACGCTGTTTTTTTTAAATTGTCCAAGGCAGGAAGTAGACAAAATCAACACTATAGTGAGCTGATTCTTAATTAGCTCACTATATTAATGTATTTCAATTTTTATAAACCACATGTAACAAAATGGACAGTTTTGCCTATTTGACTAAGCGACCGTTCACTGGTACTGAGCATGCTCACTCCTCCTGTAACATCACCTCATCCACCTCCACAATTCTTCACTGCAGTGAAGGGTGAAGCCAGAGAGAGGGCTGCGGCTTTCAAGTCTGGAAAGCGAATTCCATTATACAAAGCAGAAAAGAACTGAGCAATGTCAGTCATGTGTCTGATTCACAGGGAGGCTTCACCGAAGGCTGGGAGGGTGAGGAGAAACAGCTCTGTTTTCGGGGACAGCCCTAGGATTGTGCTGCCTGTTTAGCCCCAGAATGGAGACCGCAGGCAGAGGATCCCGCTTACCTAAACCCAGCCCAGCATTACATAACCTTAAACTCATACTTTGGTTGGAGACCGAAACAGTAATAGATTCCGTGTTGCTTTAACTCAAAGTCGCGTGGATTGGGGGTGTGGCTCAGTGGGTAGAGTGACGGCCCAGCGTGCACGATGCCCTAGATTCAATCTCCAGCACTGCATAAACCAGGCACGGACTCACAGGTTTATAATCCAAGAACTCAGACCCGTGTGGGTTCAAGGCCAGGCTGGATTCGGAGTGGGACTGCTGCGGCAGTGGGCATAGTCGGGGAACCGCGGGTTCAGGATTCACACGGTCGCAACATCTGCCTGAGTAGTTGGATTTAGAGGCCTCCACCAAGGTGAAGCTTACAGCTGTGAGTTTTGATGAAGAGAGAAACTTCGTGGCGAGCCAATGAGAAGTAGAGTTGGATTTTAAGAGAAACAGGAAGAAGGTGATGCAAAAAGCATGAAGAGACGCGGCAGCATGAGTGGGCTTTTCAGGGGCGAGTTGCAGCTAAGTGTCCTAATAGTGGGGTACATAGGACTTTGGTAGCTTGAAGCTCATGGCTCCAATAGTTGCTAAGAAACACTCCCCACCCCTTCTTCTTTTGTTTTGTTTTGTTTTTCAGACAGGGTTTCACTGTGTAGCCCTGGCTGTCCTAGAACTCACTCTGTAAACCAGGCAGGCCTCGAACTCACAGAGATCCACCTGCCTCTGCCTCCTGAGTGCTGGGATTAAAGGCAGGTGCCACCACTGCCCGGCTCCCACCCCTTCTTTTTAACATTGCCCAAAAAAACTGTAGTTTATACCAAAGTTAAAGAATTTCCTTAGTAAACAAAGTTGTAAGGTAGATTTATGGGAGCCTTTGTCTAGGTTTGAGAGTAAGGGGAATGCCCAAGGGCATCTGTCATTTGTCCCTAAGTAAGCCTGGCTTAAGCATTGCCCTTTATGTCCTTTTTTTAAAAATATTTTATTTATTTATTTATTATGTATACAGTGTTCTATCTGTGTGTATGCCTGCAGGCCAGAAGAGGGCACCAGACACCATTACGGATGGTTGTGAGCCACCATGTGGTTGCTGGGAATTGAACTTAGGACCTTTGAAAGAGCAGGCAATGCTCTTAACCACTGAGCCATCTCTCCAGCCCCTGCCCTTTAAGTCCTTGACTGAGGTATTTAGCAGGACGTACCCTCTGCGGCAAAGTGAGCACTGAAGTCTCTTGCCTCTCTCAGCAGAAGGCAGATCCACTCCTAGGATGCAGGGTTTCCTCTGTGTCCCAAGACTCACTCCCAGTGTCAGCATAATTCCCTGTCTTTCTTCCCTGCCTCAAGACCCTCCTGGAGCCGGGGCAGTGGCTCGGTGGGTAAGACACTTACCATGAAAACCTCATGACTTCAGCCTGATGATGCCCTTCTAACCTGTAGTAGAATGAGAGAGTCAACTGCTGAAAGTTGTTCTCTGACCTCCATGGCACACAGATGCACACACAGACTCATACATCATACACACAGTAATAATGATTTCCATTGGAAAAACAATGTAAAGATCCTTCGCAAAATCCAAAACAGAACAACAGCAAAAGTAAACACAATAAGTATTTAAGCCAAACATTTCTTTATTTTTTTAAATATATTTATTATTTTTATGTATATGCACATTTTGCCTTTATACATGTGTGTGTACTACATTCATGCTTGTGGACCTTTGGAACTGGAGTTACAGATAGTTGTGAGCCACCCCATAGGTGTTGGGAATTGAACCCGTGTAGAAGTTAACTCGATTCAGGAAATAACCAGGTTAGCTAAAAGATATACAATTATATTTTTATTTATTATAAGAAGAAAACTCAAGAAACCGAGACGAGAAGTCCAAGCTCAGCTAGCTATGTGGCTAGGGAACCACAAAGAGAGAGAGAGCACCTGGGCCATGTGCCTGGTTTTCGCTGTGGGGGAGGGGGGTCCCAGAAAGCCACACCCTAACTTGGTCCCACTTCTTAAAGATAATTGGTTAACAAGGCTTCCCAGGGTCCAAGGCATAATAGCAAGTGTTCTTTACCCGCCGAGGCATTTCTCCAATCCCCTTCCCTTTTTTTCTTGGCTTTAATTAGCCAGAACTTGACTCCAACTCATTACATAGTCAAAAATGACCTTCACTTTTTTCTTTGCTTTTTGTTTTTATGAGACAGGCTCTGTAGTTTTGGAGTCTGTCCTGGGACTCGCTCTATAGATCAAGCTGGCCTTGAACTCACAGAGATCTGCCTGCCTCTGCCTCGTGAGTGCTGGGATTAAAGGTGTGCGCCACCACCACCTGGCCAACCTTGACTTTTTGATTTACTTCATTTTAAAAACACATATATGTAAGGGTTATATGTACATGCGGGTACCCACAGAGATCAGAGACATCGGATCCCATGGGGCTGTAGTTACAGAAGGTTATGAGCCATCTGACCTTATGACCTGGGTACTGGGCACCCAACTGGGGTCCTCTGGAAGAATAGTACACAGTATGTACTCTTAACCACTGAGCGATCTCTATTTCCAGCCCTGAGCTCGAACATCTGATCCTCTTCCATACACCTCCAGAGCAACACAGTAATCCCCCACCCAGTTTGATGCAGGGCAGGGGACAAACCCAGGACTTTGTACATGCAAAGCAAACATTCTTCTAACTGAACTGCTGATCCAGCTAACAAGCCAAGCTCTTTGAAAAACCACAGACCCCCCGTGGTTTGGATAGTTGGAAGGTGTTAGGAAACGCATCTAGCAACAGTTTAATTGTAGAATCTAAGTGGTGGATGGATGAGCGTTCACTGCATAACTATAAACTTGGCCGTCTCTCACAGGTAACTGTTGGGTATACAGAACCAATGGCTTTGGATCCTTAACTTTGAACTGACTTTTTTTTTTTTCCCTCAACTTACTTTTCAGGTTGGGAGGGCAGGCACAGTGGTCTCGTGGTCAAATAGCCTTCTGCTCTATCAGGGCAGACAACACTTCGGGGCTGGGCTGTCATCCTGTGTGTGTGTCTGCGTGCCGTTGTCATTTCCGTGTGTCATCATTGTGACCCTGAGGAGGAAGAATGACTGAGGGTGTCCTGTGGGTCTGTGTGCCCCCCTCTCAGGGCCAACTCGGAGACCCCCTAAGCCTGGCAGCCAAGAGAGGCACCTCACACAAAGCTAGGCAGAAGCCAGCTCTCCACTGTGGGTTTTCCCCCGAGAAGAATGGCTGCTTTCAGCACAAGCTTTGATGTCAGAGAGTTAAACTGAGCCAGGTTAAGCTGCCTATGCTGTCTTACTCCAGAAACGGCCTGGCAGGTAAGATTCAGAGAAGCCTCCTTCCACTCACGGTCTGCTTTGCTCTGCATTATAAAGCCGGGCCTCCAGCTGCATGGTCACGGGTCTGGGCTGGTCTCTGGGACTAAAAGTAAAGGTCTTTTTGGAAAAAATGACAGTGGCGTCTTTGGCTAAGGATGATGGGAAAAGCTCACCGGGTTGTCACGGCTGTCACCGCCGTCATTGGAGCAGCCTCCTGGAGGCTTTTCTCTGAGCTGTCTCTCAGCTTAGCCTATGAATTCTCGTCCCCGAGAAGAAAGGCCAGCAGTAATAGAGGCCTTGCTGGCCTGAGGAGGGCGTGCCTAAACTCACCTCCCCCATCCTGCATGATGTAAGAGATCATAGAAAGGGGCGTGGAAGGCGGCTGCAAAGATGAGAGCATTTTGTTTGGCTCCAGGTCGGAAACAACCTGACAGCCAGCAGGGATGGGGATGGGGGCGGAACAGGGGGCGGGGACAGGACAATGCAGTTCCATCAATTGTACACCTCACTGCAACAAAACAATGTGCAGCCCCGTAAGGAACTATGCATAGGTATTGATGAAGACTAATCTATAAGCTGAATTGTTTATTAGGAATAACAATGAAGACCAAAGCAGTGTGTTTAGTAGCTGCCCTTTTGCGTGTTTAAAAAATATGTATTTATGATTATACATGTATGCAAGAATATTTTTGTTTGGATATACTGGTTCAGGGTATGAGGATTCAGGCAAAGTAAGATAAAGAGGCATATGCAAGTGCTGCGGAGGTGCGTTAGTTGGTAAAGTGCTTGCCACAAAAGCATGAGGACCCGAGTTTGACTCCCATAAGCCACATAAAAGCTGTGTGTGCTGTAACCCACTTGTAATCCCAGCCTTGAGAAAGTGGGGAAAGGTGAGCTCTGGGGCTGAGTGGCTCAACACCCTGACCTAATTGATAAGCCCCGGGTCCCAGTGAGAGATTGTGTCTCAAAACACAAAGTTAGGGGCAGATAGGATGGCTGTCTTAGTAGGGAAAGGTGCCCACTGCCCAGCCTGACAACCTGAAGTGAATCCCTGGGACCCACATAGTAGAAGGAGAGAGAGAACCAATTAGTAAAGTTTGCCTTCTGACCTTCTCACACACACATACACACACACTAAATAAATAATGAAAATTTATTTTTCTAAAAAACAAAAACAAACAAACCACAAAGTGGGTCTCTTGAGATGGCCCAGTAGGTATTGCTGAGCCAGCCCAATGGCCAGAACCAACAGCATGGTTGTGCCTTTAGTCCCAGCACTCGGGAGGCAGAGGCAAGTGTATCTCTGAGTTCAAGAACAGCCTTGTCTATAGATCAAGTTCTAAGACAGCAGGACAGCCAGGCCTACACAGTAAAACCCCATCTCAAAAAAAAAAAAAAAAAATCCAGAGTTTCATATGGTGCCAGGTGCCTTTAATCCCAGTACTCAGGAGACAGAGGCAACAGATCTCTCTGAGTTCAAGGCCATCCTAATTTCAGGACAGGCAAGGTTACACAAAAAAAACCCTGTCTCAGGGAAGAAAAGAAAATTAAGCTTTTAGTGCTTGAGAGATGGCTCAACAATTAAAGAACGCTGGCTGCTCTTCAGAGGTCCTGAGTTCAATTCTTAGTACCCACATTAATGGCTCACAACCATCTATGATGTCATGCAGGCATTCATGCAAATAAAACACTCATATACATAAATAAGTCATTTTGGGGGTTGGGGGATTTGAAACAGGGATTCTCTGTGTTTTCCTGACTGTTCCAGAACTCTCTCTGTAGACCATGCTGGCCTTGAACTCACAGAGGTCTGCATGCCTCTGCCTCCTGAGTGCTGGGATTAAAGACGTACACTATAACTATTTGGCAAATAAAGTAATCTTAGGGGCTGGAGAGATGGCTCAGCGGTTAAGAGCATTACCCGCTCTTCCAAAGATCCTGAGTTCAATTCCCAACAACCACATGGTGGCTCACAACCATCTGTAATGAGGTCTGGTGCCTTCTTCTGGCCTGCAGGCATACACACAGACAGAATACTATATACATAATAAAATAAATAGATAAATATTTTAAAAAAATAAAGCAATCTTAAAAAAAAAGCTTCCATTCCAGGCTGTTTTTATTATTATTTTACATGTACAAGTACTTTGCCTGCATGTATATCATCTATGTCTGGGCAGAACATATGTCTGGTGCTTAAGAAGCCAGAAGATGATGTCGGATTCCCTGGAGCTGGAGTTATAGATGGTTGTCAACTTCAATGTAGGTTCTGGGCCTGAAACCTGGATCCCCTGGAAGAATAGCCAGCGTTCTTAACTACTGAATCATTTCTCTTATCATAAGACCTTTACGAAACATAAAGAAGTTAATATTTAGAGGGCTGCAGTGGCACACACCTTTAAGCCCAGCATTTGGGAGGCAGAGGCAGGGGGGGGGGGAGATATATCTGTAAATTCAAGGCCAACCTACAGAGAGAATTCCAGGAGGGGGGGGCTATGGAAAGAAATCCTGTGTTAGAAAAATAAATAAACAAACAAACAAACACTTAAGTGTCTGGCATATAGAAGTTTTTGGTCTCCCCGCAGGGCGGTGGTGGCGCACGCCTTTAATCCCAGCACTTGGGAGGCAGAGGCAGGAGGATCTTTGTGAGTTCGAGGCCAGCCTGGTCTGCAAGAGCTAGTTCCAGGACAGGCACCAAAAACTACAGAGAAACACCCTGTCTCGAAAATCCAAAAAAAAAAAAAAAAAGAAGAAGAAGTTTTTGGTCTTGATAACTGGATAACCTAATCAATTTTTAGTTGTTTTTTTTTTCACAATTGAGACAAGTTCTTGCCACATCAGAGCCCCAGCTGACTTTGACCTTGTCACCTTCTGTCTTAGCATCCCAAGTTCCCTGACTGCTGAACTAAACCACCATATCCAGTTCCAATTATTTCATTTATTTATTTATTTTTGGTGACAGGGTTTCTTTGTGCAGTCCTGGCTGTCCTGGAACTTACTCTATAGAACAGATTGGCCTCGAACTCACAGAGATCATTCTGCCTCTACCTCCCTTATCAGCTAGCTGAGATCACAGCCAGGTTCAGGCTTGTAAGGCTGAGGCAAAGGATGGTTTCTGAACCCCACCTTTTTATAGTGAAGATTAAGCAATAACAAAGGAATTTTTACTTTTTTTTCTTTTTTTATTATTTTTGTTTGTTTGTTTGTTTGGGATTTTTTTTTTCTTCTTCCAGATAGGGTTTCTCTGTAGCTTTAGATCCTGTCCTGGAACTAAGTCTTGTAGACCAGGCTGGCCTGGAATTCACAGAGATCCGCCTGCGCCTGCCTCTGCCTCCCAAGTGCAGGGATTAAAAGCCTGCAGCACCAATGCCTGGCTAATTTTTACAATCTTGAGGTGAAACTTAGACACAAATCACCCTTCTTTGCAATGTTCAGTAACAGGGTTTTTCAGGTAAACTCGTGTTTGCATTTAGTTCATTGTTTCTCTCCGCTACTTGCTGATGGTGTTTACGATGCTCTGCATTCCCGATACTGCCACTTTTGCATAGCAGGGAAGGGTAGGGGACAATATAGACCCAAAGAGTCAAAAGTCATGTACATCCCATCATTTAAAAGTTAACTCGCGAGGCCGGGGTGGGGCGCCGCACATGCCTTTAATCCTAGCACTCGGGAGGCAGAGCCAGATGGATCTCTGGGAGTTCCACCCAAACCACAGGTTTCTGGGAGTTCCTGCTTGACTTTTCAACCACAGACAGCGTTTGCTGGCTGCCTGTAAAAGCATTCTGCAAGGTGGCGGACATCAGCTGGAGCCATTACCTGCCTGGAAGTCAGCTGTCAAAACTGCTCAATGGCGGCGCAGAAGTAAGCCTTTCATTAGCAGAAAAATGCCAGTCGGTTCAAGTGACGCAGGGCTCTGCCAACTGGTAAAACTTAATTATGCTTCTAACTACATAAATTAGCTCAAGTAAACACGTTTGAAAACACCCGATTTCCATCTTGAACCTACAGAGGATTAACTCCAAGAAAGCAAATTAATAATGAGTGAATTTTTTTTATTTTTTTTTACTGCGTCTCCCACGATGATTAGTGCTTTGAACGATTATTCTGCAAATTAACACATCAGAGATGTCTACCTTTCCAGAATAAGTAAGAACCTCTCCTGGGATATGAGGGTGTTGGAGATGGCCTAAGTTTTTCTCCCCTATCACCTACTATGGAGACTAAAAATCCTCCGGGGTTTAAGTGTTTCCCCAGATGCGCTTCAGCTAAATCTTTCTCGGGCAGTTTTTTCATTTCTCCACCCCTCTCCTGAGCCAATCCGAAGGACTCAAATAGCCCAGAGCCCCCTGGGAAGGCACAGCGGAGGTACCGCCTGGTTACAGGGCTTCCTCAGCTCTCCGGCTCCTCCTGCTCTGGCCAGCACGCCTGCAGGCTGGAAACGCAGGCTGCGCATTGCGGCTCAGCGGCGCAGGGGACCGCAGGGGTTAACCTGGCTGAGATTCAGTCCTGCACCACCTGGGCCTCGGCTTCAGTGACTCATTGTTTCCGCCCTGAGCAGGCTGAGCTCTGCGTGGTGGTGTCAGTCACCCAGGCAAAGGAAAATTCTTGTTTTTTTCTCCCCCCCTTTCAACATAACCAGTTTTCTGAAGCCGCGTATAGAAGCGGGGACGTGAGGTGTTTCTTCTGAAGGAGCCGTAGCCAAGGTTACTTGCTGCCTTTGAGTTGTCCCGCAGGGGACAAAGGTTTGAATTTACTGGCTTTGGGCCTCTTTCTGTTTGCACACAGTAAATTCAAACCTTTGTCCCCTGCAGGACACCTCCGTTGATGGCTGTGACGTGTCTTTAGAAAACGAAGGACACATACTGGATTTTAGTTGACATGACCTACAATTTGTGCAAACAAACACATTGGCCGATCAATTAGCTATGTCTCAATATAAGATCTGCATCAAATACAAATTTTCCACATCTCTATTTCTTTCGCATGAATGTGTGCTTGTGCCCCACTGTGCCTTGTAGAGATCAGAGGACAACTTGCGGGAGTCGAATTTCTCCTTCCACCTTGTGAGTTCCAGAAATAGAACTCAGATGGTCAAGCCCGGCTGCAAGGACCCATGCCTGCTCACTCATCTCGCTGGCCCTCCCTGCATTCCTGTGTCTGCAGGAGCGTCTTATCACTCACTTCACAGCAAATCTTCCTGAGTGGAGTCTAGTTTTGCACTCTTGGGGACTAGAGAGGTTGGAATTCCTGGCCTGGGGGATCTTTGCTGGCTAAGCATAACTCAGCCCCCAAGCTTTCCTGGCAGGACTTGGAAGACATTTTGCCATCTTTCTGTAGAGTGTCGTGTACATTCCTGAATCTTATTATTTGGCCTCATTCTATTTATCTATATTTTTGGTGTTTAAACATAAAAAATATAAGCCGGGCGGTGGTGGCGCACCTCTTTAATCCCAGCACTTGGGAGGCAGAGGCAGGCGGATCTCTGTGAGTTCGAAGCCAGCCTGGTCTACAGAGTGAGTTCCAGGACAGGCTCCAAAACTACAGAAAAACCCTGTCTTGAGAAACCAAAACCAAACCAAACAAACCAACAAAAAACCCAAAGACAGAAGATACTGGAAAAGAGAGGACAGACACAGGGCAGGGAGACTGAGGATGGGGCTTACTGAAAACTCAGAAGATGCCTTGGTGACCTTGTCGATCAGCTGCTGTGGTCTTCCTATTTTGACAGTAACAGGAGGTTTGTTTCACCTCGGCTAGTTTCCTGTGATGTGTCCACTCTGCCCTATGAACTGGGACTCACTTTGCGTTTGAATCAGAAAGAATCAAAGCAATAAAGATTATGTCCATCTTTCAGTCCCCTGCTGTCATTCAGCAATATGGGTGTCTTTCTTGGGTTGCCAGAATCCTTTAAAGTCAAGTGTCAAAAGGCTTGTCTCACCTTTTTGGAAGGTTAATCCAAGGCTTCGAGATTACACTTGTCTTGTTTTTGTAGGCAGGGCAGTAATATTGCAGGGTGCCTGCAGAACCAGTGCCAGTTTAAATGCCTCCATGTCTCACATCACAGAAGTAGAAGTGAACCTTTCTATATTTTTTCTTTCTCTCTCTTTTTTTCTTTCCTCCTCCTCCTCCTCCTCCTCTTCCTCCTCCTTTCCTCCTTCTCCTCCTCCTCCTCCTTCTCCTCCTTTTTTTTTTTTGGGGGGACAGCCTTGGCTGTCCTGGCACTAGCTCTTGTATACCAGGCTGGCCTCAAACTCACAGGGATTGACCTGCCTCTGCCTCCCGAGTGTTGGGATTAAAGGTGTGCGCCACCACCGCCCAGCCAATCTTTCTATATTATATACAAGAAATCTGTGTGCAAAAACCTATTAACAGGTTTTTGGTGCTTCTTGGTAGAAGAACACTATAACTGTTAGGTTCAAAGGAACCACCCCTCAAACTACCCAAAGTGGGTATGCCAATGACTCTGCAAAAGGACAGTCTAGGCTTGGCTGGTTGAATTCTGACAGGGTAAACAGGATTGCTGGCAGAGATGGAAAACATTCCTCAGGGACCTGTGAAACAGGTTTCTGTCTGGACTCTTCCAATCGCTCCCTACAGCCAACTACTGTAAATGGGACTCACGGTTCTCTATTAGCATATACGTATAATACATATCAAAGCCCCGTGCTAACCTCTAGGCTCCTGAGGTCCCTATTAACACTACAGACCATTACACCAGTAATGCTTATCTAAGCCACCAGGCACTTCTGGGCCAAACACTTCTTCTTCCCTTCTATCCTAACTTCCAGGTTGTCCCAGATTCCACTCTCCTTCCCCTTTAAAACCAGCAAGCCGCACCCCTAGCCGTAGTGGGTAGCCCTGGCAGCTTTAGACTCCCTCAAATGCAGCTGGCTATTCTCTCTCTCTCTTTACCGCCTGGAAAGATGGTCACTGGCAGTTTCATATTTACAATAAACCGTCCCACCCATGGAGCGGTCCAGTGTGTGTGTGGGAGGTGGGGAGAGTTTCACTGACAGTACCAAGCAAGGTGTGGACAAATGCAAACCTCTAAGTACAACTGAGGAAGATAGTCGCACACAGACTAAGGTTAAAGTTTTGAGCAGCTGCGAGGTTCACAGAGGAGAGGCTTATTTCCATTTTCTGGTCAGCATATCATAGATGAGGGGAACAGATGTCGATTGCCTTGGGTGGATCATTTAGTCTAGGGGTTGTAACCCACCCTGCAATCAGTTACTCCAGGGTCACGGAGGGGTGCTATCTGGAAGAGAAATGGGCTAGGAAAGAAGAAGGCCATGCTAAGTTTGTCACAGCCTCCGTTTATTAGAGTCCTGGTTGCTGCTTATATAGCCCCTGGATGAGGGCTTGGGGAGCAGGGCACGGGATCTCGCCGCGTGGTCCCGGACGATTCTTAACATAATTATGGGTGTGGGGTTCCCTGCAGACTCCCCAGGGTGATGTTTCCTGCAATGATTTTTAGGAGGGAAATGGCTCCTCACAGACAGAGACCTCAATTCAAGTCAAACCAGGAAGAACTGGATTTGAAGCAGGGTTGGAATTTGTATTAAATATGTTATAATACAGGTTTGGGGGCTAGGGGAAAGAGAAATGCTCTCTCCGTCTGTCTGTCTGTCTGTCCTCTCTCTGTGACATTATAGGGTGGTCCCATGATGCCTTAGATAAAATTATGATCCTAAAAAGTAAAACTAGAAGCCATTCTTCACTCTTAGATTGGTGGAAGCTAGTAGTCTTTTAAATTAATTTCTTCTAAGAAGTTTTCTATTTATGCTCACAAGGTGTTAGGTCAGATATACAGAGTGGGCCAAGGAATGGCTGTTCCAAAAGGCCAAAACTAGCTCAAGATAATTAGCTTCTGAACCTAATAAATTCCACTCTCTCCACAGTACTGAAATTCCAATTGGTCCATTTGTCCCTGCAGACACAGAAATTCCTTTCAAGTGGGTTTTTTTTTTTCTTTTTTTTTTTTTTTTTTTTTGTTCACAGTCAGACACGGCCTCTTTTCAGGAAGTTTCATCCACAATGTCTCCGTTGGCTTTCAGTCGACACTGGAACCCCAAAGAAGTAGGCTTGAAAAAATAATGCCTCCGCAGCAGGCCAGGTGAACTCGTCATTGAGAGTGAGGGCAAGCAGGCAAAAGCAAAAGCTTCCTTCTTCCGCGTTCTTTTATGTAGGCTGCTACCAGAAGATGTGACCTAGATTTAGGATGGGTCTTCCTAACTCAAATAATCCAACTAAGAAAAACCCTTCCCAGGTGTGCTCAGTTCCTTGGGTCAAGATACATTGTCTAGATGTATGAAATTGTTAAAGATTAAACAATACTCTTTTAAGAAAGAATTAGCAGTTTCCTTTACAGGACCACTTGGAAAGGATAGGAAGAAGCCAGGTTTTAGTTCTCAGGACTTGGGAAGTAGAGGAAAGAGGACCTCATGAGCTGGAGGCTAGCCTGGGCTATATGGTGGAATCCTCTTTCAAAACAACAGCAATAACAAACAAACAAACAATCAAACAAACAAACAAAAACAAAAAACAAAGCTGGGAGTAGTTTGTTTGTTTTTGTCATTGTTTTTTGAGATAGGGTTTCTCTGTGTCTTAGCCCGGGCTATTTTGGAACTCTCTCTGTAGACCAGGTTGGCCTTGAACTCACAGAGATCTGCTTGCCTCCGCCTCCTGAGTACTGGGATTAAACGTGTGTGCCACCACATTTAAAACTGAGAGATAGATAGATAGATAGATAGATAGATAGATAGATAGATAGATAGATATAGATCCAGCTCTACATTTTTCTATGCTCCCCTCCCTGCCTCTCCCCTCCCCTTCAACCCTCTCCCAAGGTCCCCATGCTCCCAATTTACTCAGGAGATCTTGTCTTTTTCTACTTCCCAAAACTGCTAATTCTTAAGAGAGCCAGAATAGTTCTGTCTGCTCTTCATCTTCTGAAGAGGCTGCTTCCTCCCCCCTTTCCTCTCTTCTCTCTCTCTTTTCCTCTATCTCTTTCTCTCTCCCCTACACCCCCATGCTTTTATACCCTCCCAATATCCACTAAATAAACCCTATACCCCCCCACACACACACAAAACAAGAGAGAGCCAGAATGGATGCTCAGGCTGTTCCTAACTCACCAACCCCCACCTGGTGCCCATCAGTTCTACAAATTTGGAAAAGACTAAAATGGTGAAGAAAAACAAAAAACAAAAATTCCATGACATTAAAAGCCCAGACAAGGAGAAGGATAAATTGAGCTTATTCCCTGGTGACACAGCATGTTTGGGGCAGAGGAACATTTATTTGCTTTGAGAATCCACTGTGGATAATGTCAATGAAAGACATTGAGCTCTCACGTGTTCAGAAAGTTTCTCCTTTCTGTTTGTTCTGTTAAATCTCGTAGGATTGACTGATGCTTGTTCAAGCAGGTCTGTAACCAATTAAAAGTCCTTTCTTGAAGACAAGCATGCTATGTAAAAGGGGACTTTTGAAACGTGGCTTAACCCTGGGATTTATGAGAAGCAGAGCACCGGCTTCCGCCCTGCACACTGGAGTCTGGAGGTACACATCCCACTATACAGAAGAAAGGCGGGACTTCTGTGGATGCCACTATACACACAAGCTGACAGTAACCAGCCTAGAGCATTCTTCCGCAGCAAGCTTTGCAAAAGCAGCTCTTAGTTTGATCAACAAAACTCTGCTGAATTTGCAGTGCCAGGGAGAGCACTCTGAAAAGCTGGTTGCCTGTTTGTTTGTTGAGACAGGGTTTGTTTCTCTGGGTTGCGTTGGCTGTCCTAGAGCTAGCTCTGTAGACCAGACTGGCCTCAAACTCAGAGATTCATCTGCCTTAAAGAAGTTGCACCATCACAGCTGAACAAATTTATTTATTTTATTTATTTGTTTGTTTTGGTTTTTCAAGACAGGGTTTCTCTATACCTTTTGGAGCCTGTCCTGGAACTCACTCTGTAGACCAGGCTGGCCTCGAACTCACAGAGATCTGCCTGCCTCTCTTATTGTCCTGGTCCTCACTCTGTAGAGCAGGCTGACTTCAAATTTACAGAGATCCACCTGTCTCTGCCTCCGAGTGATTGGGTTAAAGGCGAGTGCCACCACGGCCCGACTGGGCACATCAGTTTGTAGCATAGCTTCTACCATACCCCAACCTAAGAACGTGGTCAGAGAGCGTCTGAAGTCTATAGCCGAGTTTTCCCTTCTTGACTGTAACCTGCTTACCGGATGTTTCCAAACTAATGTACTTAGAACGGGTCTTGATGTGTGACTTTCTTTGTTCCATCATTGCAATACAGAGCTGTTGCCAGGTTAGGATGTGGAATGTGGAATGAGAAAGATCTGTGTTCCCTAGCCACAGTCCCTTGTGGTTAGCTCCAGCATAAACGGCCACTTACCCTGGGGCTAGAGGTGTGTTTCCTCAACCTTACGAGCTGAGTCACAATGTTGGCTTTGGAATCTTGTTCATCCTGCTCTCCTCCTCTTCATCAAATAACTTTTTAGTGTCTATCTATAAAACTAGGGAAATAACTTCAATAAGTAAACAGACTGGGTTTGTTTCTTTTTTTTTTTTAAACTCACAGCAAGCCTCCCAAGTGTTCCTATGCATTATCATGTTGACCATGACCAAAGTAGATACATTAGAAGAAAAATGGAGATAGATTTACTTTATGTGCTTGGTAACAAATAGAGAGCTTCATTTTCAGAAATGGACACCTTCCAATTACTCTTGAAAGATTTTTATATTATTCCCCCATCACACACACCCCGCTCCCCCATCCCCCAATGCCTGTGGTGAGATACATCTGACTTGTGCTATTGAGATGGCTCACCTGTTTGTTGCCAGGTCTGAAGACTTGGGGTACAGAGTTAGATCCCCAGGATCCCCAGGTGGAAAGAGAATCCACTCACAAGTTATCCTCACTTTCACATGCACAATGGAATTTTTTTTAAAAAAAAATGTTATTAAAATTTCCCAGGTAAACAACCAATGAAGTCCTGACCCATCATAGAGTCCCCAGATCTCTTCTTGAGACAAGCATACTTCTGTCAGGTAGGCAAGATGACTCTGGTTAACAACTGTTTGAAAAAGAACAACACCGGT